GTATACTACTGTTGCCTTGTATGGTTTTTTTCTAAAAAAATATTCTGATCCCCAATTTGATGAAAAAAAAATTCTGGTCAAGCAGATGACAAAAAAAAATATTCTGAATCCAGATTTTGCCCATACCTTATAGTGTTAAATATTGAAAAAAATAATTTGATTGATAGCCTCAAAAAACTAAATAATTTTTTTCTGACTCAGACAAAAAAAAACATACACCCCCCTTTTTGAAGTTATTTTATGGTCGTTCCCTAACTGTTAAAAAAAATCGAAACATAACAATCATACATTCCATTGTTTACACTGAGTGAATGATTTCTTTCAGTGCAAAGAATTTTCCCAGTAAAATAAAGGCAATTAAGGACATTTTTGCCTTGGAATTTTAAGGACATGGACATAAATACCTATGAGAATATGTCTGAGGACATTAATTACTGACATCGGACTAAAATACTCAGTAAATTCTGTAACCATGTAGTTTTTAAACGAGCAATGAGCATTTTACCAGGACTAGTTTATCTCTTACGCTTGTAATTACAATCGTTTGCTCTTCAACTGCGTAATAAATTTTGCCTTCCCTGAACTTGTTTCAGGTTTAAGTGCCACTGATAGGTCTTTGAGCCTCCTCATGGGATTTTCGATTATGTGATTACTTTGCCGTTTTTATAGTGATTATTTGATTACCAGACCAAATATTTCATGATTATTTGATTATTTGATAATCTAGGTCTGTATTTTTGATTATTTGATTATCTTGTTTAAAAAAATAATATATGATTATATTGGCAAAAAATTTGTGATTATGTGATTACTTGGACACCCCCATGAGGGACATCGTCTTTGTAGACGAAACGCTTAAAAGGCGTTCTAAATTATAACGGCTTGGTAACGTGAGTTACATTTTACCACTTTTAGATATATATAAATAACTCGTGCATGTGGGAAGGGATAGTGTATACCCTGTACATTCCATGCAGAATGCAGTTTTATTTTAATTTGCCTCTTTTTAAAACAAGTTTAAAATTGCCTTTAATTTTATAAGTTTGGGGTTTGCTTTCATTTTTATATTCTCCTGAAGTCATGAATTTTGCTTATGTGACCCACCCGTGGCTTTTATGAAATCTGAAGTGCTTTATTATGTTAGAGATTTATGCATTAATTACTGACATCGGACTAAAAATACTCAGTAAATTCTGTAACCATGGAGTTTTTAAACGAGCAATGAGCATTTTACCAGGACTAGTTTATCTCTTACGCTTGTAATTACAGTCGTTTGCTCTTCAACTGCGTAATAAATTTTGCCTTCCCTGAACTTAATTGTTTCAGGTTTAAGTGCCACTGATAGGTCTTTGAGCCTCCTCATGGGATTTTTGATTATGTGATTACTTGGCCGTTTTTATTGTGATTATTTGATTACCAGACCAAATATTTCATGATTATTTGATTATTTGATAATCTAGGGCTGTATTTTTGAATATTTGATTAAGTTGTTTAAAAAAATAATATATGATTATATTGGCAAAAAATTTGTGATTATGTGATTACTTGGACACCCCCATGAGGGACATCGTCTTTGTAGACGAAACGCTTGAAAGGCTTTCTAAATTATAATGGCTTGGTATCGTGAGTTACACTTTTAGATATATATAAATAACTCAAGAATGGTAAAAGTGTCGCCACCAAATTTCGTACTTAATCTGTAGTATGTAGTAATAAGCATTGTGTATAAGTTTCATAACATTTGGTTGAGGCAAACTAAAGTTAGAAAACGGAAACAAAAAAATTGTACTTGATCTTAGTTTTGTGGTAATACATATTGTGTATAGGTTTAATAATGTTTGGTTTTTCTAAGGCTGGAAATTTTCCAAGATTTCTTCTGAGTAATCCAAGTGATCTGTCATAGTTTGCCTTGTTGGCGATTTTGTTAATATAAAAAATTAGAAGATGTGGTATCGGATTGCAATGAGATAACTCTCCACCCAGAGACCAGATGACGTAGAAGTTATCAACTATAGGTCACCGTGTTGATCCAAGGACAGCGTTGAGGTGGCCCCACTTCAAGGTATGCCGGGATTGTATTTCAATGAGTCTTAGTAGTACGGGGCTATTCATATTGCATAGATAAAATAAAGCAATTGGATATTTTCCTTTGCATATATGTACATTCTAAATTTATAGCATTCAGCTGTTCGCGACATTGAACACCATCTGCCATTTTTCTTAACAACATGATTTCACTCAACCATCGATGCCCTTTTGTGATGTAATTTCTTTAGCAGCCTTGACATAATTTACCAAATCTATAAACAATCAGTAAATGTAAAACAATTAGCGCTTATACAATTTATCTTATTTCTTAAATGTGCACGGTGGACGGTTTTTCGTGAAATCGTAATTCAAAATTATAAAATGTATATTTTCGCCTCTTTTTCCATACATTCTATCTGTGATATTTGATATGTCCCAGATTACACCAACGTTAATATATATTAGTCTTAGATTGTATTCATAAAAAGTGTATAGACCTATAAATTAATTCACAAACTTTTTAATTGACTACATATCTATGGAGGAACACTTCAAGTTATATATTTTGTAAACTGGAATGGGAGGGCAAATATATATGTTACAGTGTATGTGTATAATTTTTCGATATTCAGACCGTCGGAAGTTCAACCGGAGTTCTAAATGCATATAAATTTAATAACAATCGTAAATTTTGACAATTATTACGTATACTTTGCCACAGGTGATTGGGACAGAACATTTTTTTGGCACCCCTCTATTTTCCAAACATGATCCGTTATTTTTTTGTTTTCAAGTTCTTTTAATATCAATTATTTTCGTGTTAATCTGTATATAGATATATCTGAGATAACTATTACACATGTTAAATATTTATTTATAGCAATCTCAGGCCGTGACATATTAACCGAGTGACAGCTGTGGATAGTAAAATAGCAATTCACAGTAAATAGCAGGAACAACAGACAACCCATTTAGGAATTATAAGAGCTGGTAAAAATGAGACAAACCTGAACACACAAGAACATATAAGTGTAGCCAGGAGAACACTTTACACTCTAATACCTGTGGGTCTAGAAATGGACAAGAAGGACTAAACCCTAGAACGGCATATAAGATATACCAAGCCTATGTGATACCCAGACTACTGTATGGATTGGAAATCCTACCCTCTAATTCGACCCAAATGACAGAGTTGAAACAATTCCACCTAAAAACCCTGAGATGCTTCCAATCACTACCTATAAGAACAGCTACTGCAGCAGTATATATGTTACTAGGAGCATTACCAATAGAGGCAGAAATGCACAAAAGGCAGCTAAGCGTCTTATACCCAATACCGGCATCAGAAAACACTAAGTTGAAAATCTTGTTGAAAGACAGATGACAGTAAATGCAGCTAGGAAACTCGGATAGCATTTTTTCAAGAATACAAGAGATCTTAAAATATTATAATTTACCGACTGTTTCAGAATTTAAAGATCAATTGCCATCTAAAATGCAATGGAAAAAGGACATTAACCGAAATATTGCCAATAAGTGGTCAACCATCTTGCAAGAAGAAATGGAAGAAAAATCGACACTGAAACGATGCAACACTCAAATGCTTAAAATCCATGAAGTCCATCCGGTGTGGAGAACCTTACCACCTTTAACTTATGAAGTTAAAAAGGCAAACATCAATGCTAGGATTCTGACAGGAACTTATCTACTACAAGAACATATTCAGAGATTCACTGGAAACACTGAAGAACAAAAATGTCAGTTGTGTCAAATCGAAAAGGAAGATATAGTGCATTTCATACTAAGCAAGTAATCAAGCATCATATAAGGAGATTAAAATGACCTAGAAACAAAATACTAAACATTTAAGATAAACAATTTAGTCAATGGTAAAAAAAAAAAAAAAGAGTCCAAGTCTAGTAGCGTTAACGTTAACTTTGACCATAAAATTTATATTCACCAACACTTAAAAATAATCCCATTTAAGGATTTAAATCTAAGACAAATAAGTTTTAAGTTTTTTTGGTTTTTTTTAGAAGTTTTTAACTACTAGTATTCATTTTATTTTTATCAAGAATAAACAGACTGGATGAGGTATAAGACATTGCTTCCTCTCAAGGAAACAAAATCTAAAACAAATAAGATATTATTTTATAAGTTTTATCTACTCCTAAATCTTTTATCATATTTAAACAAAATAAAACATGAAAGGGTGAATATAATTGAAATACTAAAATATTATGTCTACAATGATAACTTATACTACCATCAAGTATCAGGCAACCCCTCAAGTGAATAATGGATAAACAAACTGTGTTTTATAAGTTTTAAACATCTATCACATAATAAATATGGAGATCAAACTGAAAATCTATGTATATTTTAAATATGCACTATGAAAATAATTCACTCGCACTAATAGGTGTAAATAGAGCTCGATCATGGTTTTTTTTTTTTTTTTACATTTCGGTGTATATTCTTTCTACTTTTAAGTCATTTTAAACATTAAAATACTTATGCCAGACTGCATATAACCCCTTTTATTATTTTATTTTTTAAGTAATTATCATACTAGTAAAATTAAGGGCTTTTAATACCGTGTGACACGGGTGCTTCGATATCGGAGGAATCTACTTAGAGAAGAAGATTTGTATAGTGAGTATCACTATACAAATTCGTAACTAGTAAACAAATGTTATTTGTAGTATATTTGTGTAAATATAACACAGAAAAACATGAAAATAATTGAAATTAAAAAAAAAAAAAATAACAGATTTTTGGAAAAAAGGATGACAAAAAAATTGTCCTGTCCTCAAGATCCTGTGTACTTTGCTGGAAAGTACCCTGAATAGTATCAGCGGACGTCGTTTAAAACACTTGCGTCATTTTGTTTTATTTGCAGTACACCATTGGCGATCCGCTTCTACAAAAAGAAATATTATACAACCCAATGAAATTAGGCGAAACATATCATGCGCCTAGTCAAATCACATGATTGAACGTCATCGCCATCTTGCAAAGAACAGAGACGAAATAGCCGGAAAAACGTGAATTATTTAAGTTTACATCTGAACAAAAATATTCAGCACAATGTCATCAGAACCAATTTACACCCCTTTCTTCGGAGCTATGGGAGCTACTGCTGCGATTTCCTTTAGTGGTGAGTTTAAAGGGCAATTAATAATTTGACCAGTCACTACAGAATTATAAAAATTGATTATGTTAGTCAGATGCACTTTCGTAACTTTCAATACGTAAATTTTCACAAGAAATATATGACTGCATATGAATCGTATTGGTTGAGCATGTAGACGACTGCTGTTATGTTTAAGATTAAACAGAATTAAGTGGAATGACGAAAAGTAATATGTGTAGCAGCAGTGCAGGGATTGCAATGATGGTCCTTTTAACTTTTTATTGTCATGATCATGTATGATTTGTAATAGTGTTGGATAATCGGTTGAAATTACCAACCGATTATCTATTACTATCGGTTGACAGCAACCAACCAACTATCAGTTATAATCGCATCATTATACCTTACTCTTTTTTTTTTATACATGTACATGATGTATGAAATCATGCATTCAGTCACATTGTACATGTCTAATGCATATATTCCATATCATTGCTGAGTCTTAAATGTTCATGTTTGATATTTAGTTTCCTCTTCATATTTTATTTAGGAATTAAAACAGCGAATCAATTAGAATATAGATTCAGATTGAACATATGTTGTCTGATGATTACAACATTTATTAGTTACATGTATTACCAACAATGACACTTAAATTTCTAAATTTCAATGGTATCACTCACATTATAATATCAAATACATAGCTGCCTCAAAATTTTAATGCTTCTCATTAAAAAAAGACATATATATATCAAGTATTTAACTTTAAGCAATTTTAAAATTAATCAATAAATAAAACAATGCATTTGCATCAAAACATATACATTTAACTAAGGAGATCCAACCAATGTCCGTTAATTCATGTGGAATGCGTATTTTTCACTTTTGTGATCTTTATTCTTCTGTCAGCTGTGTCATTCATGCGTCTGTACTTATAATTGTAAGAATACAGAATTCTTTCATAGTTGGTCCGTATTTGATCTGTGTTTCGTATATGTTTCAATGGTGGACAAACTTGGAAACTTTACAAAAACAAACGATGTTTGATAAGCAATTTGAATCTAGGAATATGACGTTTTTAACACAACAAATGGATGAAACATTAATAAAAGGCAATTTGAACCACGTTCTAATGTAGTAACAAATTTATTTTGTCGAAAAATCAGAATGATGATGTTCACTCTCCAGTAACAAGCACAGGAAGTGAAAGAAAGTATTTCATAAAAAGTTATTTATTTTAAATAACGTATGACCAATCTGTAAAATCAATGCTTTTATATATGACCAATCTGTAAAACAATGCTTTGACCACGTTTGTACAGAAAGAATTTGCTTATCATATGTCTTTGATAATAGGATGTTTGACATTGTATTGTCATCTACTGATATTATTCTTTACATTTTGTTTGACCGCATGTAAAATGCAAACTGGAAACGGACCTGAAGTTGATATGCTAAATGTCCAGAAACTATAACGACAATCGATTGAACAAAATTCCAATCAATTATCGACATCACCAAGCCCAACCAACTGATTTCCGACTTTTTCCGATCATCAGAACAACACTTAGTACTTGTCAGTACTTCAACATGTTGAATACTCCCTGATCTAGCTACATATTCCCCTACAATTTGAACTTTATTGACTTTGAAATTTTAGACATGTATTCAAGGTCAAGTTAATTTATGGATAGTTTTTGATTGAAACAATTTGAGCAAGGGTTTGTTGGAAGTCTACATGCACAAAATTTTTCATTAAATCAATCCAAATTCAACTTATTTTACTGACCATTATACTTTAAAAAAAGTTATTTCCAAACCATTTTAAGTTCTTTAACATGTGTAAGCCTTGCTCAATTCATCAATTTGCTAGTAGGGATCTTTTATCAGAATTGTTTTACCAAATGTTTCAAGTTGGTTAGTCAAATCAGGAAAAAATTAACCATTTACATCTCCAAAATGGTGATCAAGGGTCCTTGGCTATAACTCAAATCAAATTAGGTCTCAATTCTCAATTCTTTATGTCAAAAAGAAACCTACATTTGTGGTTTGAAGTTATAGCACATATAGTTTATCATGGTATTTTGTGAAAAGAATTTTGTAAATTTTCAGCTGTATTTCAATCACATTGAGACAAAGACATATTATTTTATTAGTCCAATCATTCAGATTTTTTTCCTTTCTTGTATTAAAAATTAACTAAAACAAGTAGGTATTAAAATAAAAAAAACAACAACATGATTTCCATAGTTGACTATTATACTATAAACAAAAGCATAAATTGGGATGAAGTACACATATACATGTATGTATATTTATCTTACCTTCTATAGATTTATGGGGATATGATTGGTTAATCGACTACACGTGGTGACCATATATATATCATATAGGGTGTCCTAAAAAAATACATGGTTAGTTACCATATACGGTTAGCAACCATATGGGGTTAGTAAGGGGTTACTTCCCTTTTAAAACAAAAATGACATCTGAAAGGTTTAAACAAAGAAACTGGTAATAAACGATTGAAATACATTCATAAAATAAATTTAAAGCTAACACGTTATTATTGTTGGCATTTGTTTTTTGTATAGACAAATGGAAGTACAAACAATGTAGGTTCTTAAACATGTTAAAATTAAGTATTGAAGTCTTTTAAATCACTTTGATAGGCCGCTAGTCTTAATACCACATGGGAAGATAGTCGGTAAGAGAAATTCGTTACACAGTGTGCTAGTGACTTAATACGATATATATGGGGTCAGTAAATTCCATATGGGGATTCGAGCTTTGCTCTCACCCCATATGGAATTTACTGACCCCATATATATCGTATTAGGTCACTAACACACCATGTAACTAATAATATATATATATTTGACTTCACAGTCGAATTGAAATATTACAATCAATATTTTGGCAAATTAAATGTTCCTTGTGTTGTTGGAAATTTTGTTATTTTTGGTTTCACAAATTTAATAAAGAGTGCATATTTTGACATGTATTAAATTCTGGTTAAAATGTTTACATGTTCCAATTATAAATAGATCGAAGGACTTGTGGCAAGTGTATAAATATTAGAAATGAGATATACATGTAGCTACTAGCATGACTAGTATTTAATGGCTATGACAAGATTCTATCTGAAACTTGTTAGATAGGATGATAAGGCAACTTATGCTGTTTAGATATTTAGACATTGGGAGACTTTATAAAGGAGTGCTAACAATAAAAAAAAAAAAGGTAATTAATGTTTTTGAAATAGACAAAATTAAAATTTCTTATTCATTCATGAGTTACCATGTAGTGAACCATGACAAAATTAGAGTACATTTGTACTTTGTTAAATTTCAGTATTTTCCCTGTATCGTGTATTGCATCAACTTTACAGTATATTTTTTCATACAAAAAATGAAGTATGGGCACACCAAAAATAAGAACTTTATATTTTGCATGTTTTGTGCTGTGAAGTAAAAAGTTATAAGAAAGCTTCTATAAATGTTTGTTATTATGCTTTGGTCAATGTTTCCACCAATGAAATATGAATGGAAAACTAGATTTAAATCTGTGATGATGTCATAACTTTATAAATCTTGTCTTACATCATGTACATTGTCTTAATCCTTTATATATTACTTGATTTTATACATTTATATTACCTTTATAATGAGCAAAATTGAAGTACTTCATTACAAGTACAATGTACTTTGTAATACTATAAGTTGAACTAGATATAGTACGACTTAATAGAAAATAAACATTTGATAAAATACAGGAACAAATTTTTTTTATTGAAATCCATATGTCATCATCATCTGACTCATGTATGTTGTACTTATATATTTTTGTCCTTAATTTTCAATAGAATATTAATTATTTATCTCCCTTCTGAAACAATTTTTTTCTTAAGAAATTTAGAATTAAACAATTTTTTTTTTTTTTTAAACTCATGCCTGCCCCCTCCAACATCCCCTGAAAAAACCACAATAAAATAATATAAACAAGAATGTGTCCATAGTACAAGGATGCCCCACTTGCACTATCATTTTCTATGTTCAGTGGACCATGAAATTGGGGTAAAAAACTAATTTGGCATTGAAATTAGAAAGATCAATGACATCATCATATCATAGGGAACATGCGTACTAAGTTTCAAGTTGATTGGACTTCAACTTCATCAAAAACTACCTTGACCAAAAACTTTAACCTGATGTGGAACAGACGGACGAACGGTTGACGCACAGACCGAAAAATATCATGCCCGTAGGTGGGGAATAAAAAACAAGTGTAGCTGTTGTTTCACATTACTGTTGCCCTGCAAATAGTGATATATTTCAAATAGATTTAAGATGGAAAAAATCATGTACCAATGTTATTTAAATTGTCATTAGTTTTCAGCTTACAAGTGAAACTTTCTCCAATACTCCAAGATAGGAATGCATCCATTCATATATGGAGTATTGGTAAAAATGTCTGTAAGCATTGATTTGCTGACACTGGCCTCCCACAATTGATTTGTCTCCATGGTAACTACATTTTCCCCACTGAATGAAGAGATGTATTTGGTTATTGATTGTAAGGGGAGAATCAATATTTGGTATCACCCACTAATTATTACTGTTGTCACTCACTGGCTTGTTCCATTTAAGTACAGTGCTTCAAAACTATAATTTCACTTTATGTTTGGTTAGTTAAACAAGCCATTTATTCTATTTTCATTTGTGATTTTAAAAAAAAACAATGTTCTAAAGTATTGACATTTTCTGAAAAATATTCATTATTAATTGGACTGTTATTATGTAATGCCAATTTTTTTTTTTTAAATGAAGGGAGTACCAAAAAATCTGAAAATACATAAAAATGAAAAAATTACATACAGATCTTCTCCATAACAAAAAATCAAGCTTGAAAATAATTTTTAACTGAATAAATTAAACATTAAAGAAAGTAAGGAAATGTGAACTGAAGACTTAGCAGTAAAGAAAAGTAGATATCATCGGGATTCATTCATAAAGTATTGATATATCAATGAAATAAAAAAATCCTGATGAGTCTGTAGTGTGAAATCCAATATAAATAGAATACCAGAAATAAATCAGATATTGATTTTTGTCTCGCCTTGACGGAGTCAAAAAGCAAGACATAGGTATGCTGTTTCCGGCAGCGGCGTGAACAATGTATTAGTTTGTGATTAGGTCTAGTTTATGGTGAACCACTAGTGGTAGGTTAATGATATTTGGTATGCAGTTGTATTAGCATTGGCACATCTCATTTCCATGGGGATTATTTGGCCCTGCCCCCTTAGTCAAGGTCTATTGACTTTGAAACTTTTCGCTTAGTTTACATTTATTGATTTGTGATTAGGTCAGTTTAAGGGGAACCACTAGTGGTAGGTCATTGATATTTGGTATGCAGTTGTATAAACATTGACACATTTCATTTCCATGGATATTTTTTGGCCTCGCCCCCTCAGTCATGGTCTATTGACTTTGAAACTTTTGCTTAGATTACATGTATTAGTTTGTGATTAGGTCAGTTTAAGGGGAACCATTAGTGATAGGCCAATGTTAATTGGTATGCAGTTGTATAAGCATTAGCACATCTCATTTCCATGGAGAATATTTGGCCCCGCCCCTCAGTCATGGTCTATTGACTGAAACTTTTGCTTACTTTACATGTATTAGTTTGATTAAATCAATTTAAGATAAACCACTAATGTTAAGTCAATGATATTTGGTATGCAAATGTATTGGAATTTGCAAGTCTCGTGTCCATGGAGATTATATAGCCCCACCCTCTCATCAAGGTTCATTGACTTTGAAACTTTTACATTGTTTACAAGTTAATGTTTGTGTTTAGGTTTGTTTAAAGGGAACGACTTACAATAAGTCAGTGGTATTTGGTATGCAGTTGTATTAGCATTGGCACATCTCATGGAGATTGTTTAGCCATGTACCTTCAGTCATGGTTCATTGACTTTGAATAATTGCATAACTTACATGTTAAAGTATTGCCATTTTAATTTCAACATTTGCATTATCAAAATTTCAAATAGGCGAGACATATCTCTGTGCTAACAGTTTATTTTATAATTTTAAACAAGTTCATTGATTCTCCAAGGTCAGTCAGTTATTTTTTATTGTATTTCTTGATACATATACATTACTAACTTATACAATCGTAATGGAATGCTCATTTAATTTAAGCAAAAATAAGATAGACTTGTGTTTAGATTTACCTTTTTGGCCAATGTATTAACTGGTACTCCTCAAAATGACTACCCTTAATTTTATTGATGCTTTTAGTAGTGTATCCTAACACTTTACCTCCCTAACCGTTTGACAAAATTTCAAGTATCCCCATATACTGAAGTAAGTAAAAAATTGATCAAATTCTTTTGATATTAAATATTTTGTTCCTCACCTCATTCAAAATATATCTTTAGCATGTTTAGATTCATTGTTTCAGAGTTATTGATTTTGATACTAAATCAGTGCATATTTGTTACAATCTAAACTGGCAACAACCTTTTACTATAGTGAAAAAAGCTACAAATTTCTAAGGCAATACAAACTTTTCTTTTAACATGTTTAATGTCTGGTCTCATTAATTGAATTTGGTATTTTATCATTGATGTCTATTTAATTATTCCAAATAAAAATATGACAATCATCGTAGTCAATGTATTGTAACAGTATATATATCAATGATGTCGTTACTTACTGGCAACATGGGCAAGGGAGAAGTTCTTTTCAAGAAGCAAAAGTATAGAAAATTACATTGTCTCTCCTGGGACTCAATCCGGGACCTTTGTACTACAAGTCAGCGCTCAAACCAGCTAAAGAAGTTCTCCCTAGCTCAACTGCATATGGTTGGCTACATTTGTAAGTATCTTCTATTCAAGGGAAGCAATCCCGTCACACCACAATGAAAAATCAAAGCAAACATACATTTGAACAAGAACTAAGGCATTCCAAGTGTTGTGGCAGCAATTAGTACCTCTTTTTTGCCAATAGTACTTCAGTATTACTATTTTAATACATGTTATTGTCACCTTGTCATTTGCAAATATTGCAGACATTTCGACTATATCCTAATGTCATGATTGTATTATTTAACCATTGTAACATGTTTGATTTTTGATTATTTCAGCACTAGGAGCTGCCTATGGAACAGCAAAATCTGGTACTGGAATTGCTGCCATGTCAGTCATGAGACCTGAGTTGATTATGAAATCTGTTATTCCAGTTGTCATGGCTGGTATTTTGGCTATTTATGGACTGGTCGTAGCTGCTTTAATAGCCAACAGTATCGACAAAAGTTACACATTATTCAAGTAAGTTTACAAAAATAGGTATCATGAAAAATCAAGTAAGCATTATCTTATTTTACACAAGATAAAAAACAATGCAGAAAATTATTCACTGATTTAATTTTGTAACCAATTAGGCACAAAAAACATATCACATTGTTTCTGCATACCAGACAAAATTTCTGGAATAACCCACAGACATTGTCAGGTATGCCCAAGATGTTTGGAAAAAAAAAAAAAAAAAATTTTGTTTGGGAGCACATGTATAAAAACCAAAGGGTCTAAATAGAATGGCCAATTGAACCAAATCTGTCTAAGGGGAACTATGCCTCAGGGGGTTTGGGCCTCCATGCAATTCTTTCAAGAATTATGAATGATCATGATTATTTCTTTACATTTAATATCATTTTTCTATGGCAACCATTGAAGTCATGTGACTTAAGATTTCTTATAATGAAATGTACATGTACATTGTATTTATTTAAAATATTGTTATGTATATCGCGTATCATTTTGTAATTGCAGGAGTTTTTGTCATCTTGGTGCTGGTTTAAGTGTAGGTTTGAGTGGTCTAGCTGCAGGATTTGCTATTGGTATTGTAGGTGATGCAGGAGTAAGAGGAACGGCACAACAACCAAGATTATTTGTAGGAATGATTTTAATCCTTATTTTTGCTGAAGTACTGGGTCTCTATGGACTTATTGTAGCTCTAATTCTGGCCACACGACAAGGATAGTTATATTATTTCTCTCTAATGTTAACTTCTAAATGTTTCACACAAAAGTTTGAGGTGAAATCATCATGATGACAACCTCAGATTTTTGTGTTTATAATAGGTCGTTTTTGTTTGTATGTAAAGAAAAAGTGAAATGAATTGCAACATGGTGTGAGTTGTATGAATGAAAATGTACATCGCCAAAGATAACATATGCTGGTCATCAGGGGTAAATAAGAGACAGTTGGACATACACGTACATTTACATTAGTTGCCATTTGTTTTGCCTGCTAATTATGGATTGGTTGTAAAAATCCTATTTAGCTCAAATACACATAAAACAGTGACACTGCCTGTTAATAATCCAATACAAAATTTTTAGTTCAATATTAGATTTAAGGAAAAATACTAAAAAGACTATTACTGTTATGTGAAGACATGTTTTGATTAAAATATTTCATTCCTAGATTCATCAATTAATGGAATGTATTAATTGAACCCCATTGATCTATTAATCCATTTATTGAAACATTTTTTGTTTAAGTGAAATGCATCACTTAAGTATGGATTGGATGATGTCCATTTTGCTTTGCTTTTAATGACAAAATGTATAAGAAAGCCTTGTAATACAAATCTTTTCTGTCTCTGAGCATAAGGTCATCAGAAATTTTTGAATAAAAAAAAGTCCCAAAATATTTGTTCATGTATTTTAGTGACTAATGACATTCCAAGCAATGCATTTTAATTAATCAGGATTTATTTTTGTGCATATGTTGTTGTACATGACTGTTAGAACAAGTTCATTTTAAATGTAAATAAATCATGTTTTGTTCTCATTTATAACATTTTGTTAATTTTCTGCAATTACAGGTAAAAATGTGATACTGATTTTTTTGTGTTAAATAGTTGTAAAACAAGAAAAAAATTAGTAATTTTTCATTTTTCTCAAGAAATGAATTGTTGCCAATTATTTCTCTTATCTCATCTATTAAAAGTATGATCTGTTAGGAAGCCCCTGAAAATGGTTAAATGCCAAAAGGGACAATACTAAGAAGAAGTGAAAATGATGGAAATTGTAATGTCAATTAAGCTATAAAAATGATTTGCTAGTTATAGAGGTATTGAATATTACCAATTTATTCAGGTAAATAAGAATACAAGTCAATGGACAAATCATACTATAACATATAACTAATACTATTGAGAACTATTTAATTCTTTTTATTTTTTGTTATTTTTCTCCTGTTTCGTGGATATTTATATATAAATTATTTAAAATTATTTTTTACAGAAACTATGATTTATTAACTGTGATTAAAGGAAAAATTATATGTAGTGTGTGCCAGTAACGTATTTATTGATCTGGGTGTAAACAGTTTGTCAAAGATTAAATTTGCTGCTTTTAATATGATGTCGAAATGTATTTAACGTGAAAAGTTTGCCAAAACAATTTTTTTTTAAATTCATGTTAAAATACAGGATAACGAAAATTCCAGTCAAAAAGATGAATGGATTAGAAAAACAAAACAAAGCAGTGAATTTAATTGTAGTTTAATCAAGAAACTAACTGAAAATTTAAACATTTTGAAAAACCAAGGGGAAATAATCCACTTTATAAATCTTCAATTTTCTTGTCGTTTAGTACATAATAATCAGATGAATGTAGTGTCGGGATAGATAGAGATATTATGTAATTACCTGTTATACCTGTTTAATAAAAACCTGTTTCAACAGGTATAAACAATGTACAATAAATAAATCGAAATAACCATTTTTTGTCTTTGTGTTGCAACTCAAAAAGCAGTATAAAATATGAAGAAATAGTGACGCTGTGGTTCAGATTGCCCTTATTATGAAGCCTATTTCATTTGATAAATATATCTTTACTTCTCTTGCTAGACCTTGTAAATTCCTTAGGGCTATGAATTAAAATAGATTGTGGAAATGGATTGGTTGGGTTAGGTAAAGGACAACCAAAATTATCCTGTAACCAGCATACATTCTTTGAATAATTTTACATTCATCAAATTGGACATGTACAGAGTAAAAAAAGTTGAGCAACATATATATTTTAATTACAAAACAAAAGTTTGAATTAAAATGTTCCAAAGTTGTGGAAATAACTCTTTATTTTTTGGTTGAGTAACCATTGCGTTATGTGGTTTATTTTCTTCAGTTTCTTCAAGCATGTAAGTGTTCCAACTTTGGAAATTTGTCATTATTGTCATCATCTCCTTAAGCTTCTCCCTTTTTTCCAATACTTTGAATTATCGGTGGAGGTAAGATTAGCATGATAATATGTGTAACTTCATGTTGCTCCTTGCAACAAGATGGAGTCATGACTTGCATATCATTAAGAATACATTTGATAATCACAAAAAACTGCGACATATATTTTTGAAGGAACATGTAGTAATTGCTTGCCAGTGGCAAATATTTCATGCATATTCATTGGACATTTACGGTACAATGATTTCCTGTAAACAGAGGAAGAAACTCATTGACATCAATGTCACCTTGGGATTAAGGAAGATGATAATTGATGGTTGTTAAATCACTGTGTCTAAACTACCCTGGCGAAAAATGTTTGGACTCAATAGTATCTAATGTCCGGTACGGTGACGGACAATCGACAGACAGAGAAAGGTAGAAATTCTGTTTATTTATATGTTGTTTTAATGATATTGAAGAATATACATACACATATAACTATTTTCGATATTGTGATGAAATATTTTCTACAACCGTTCTAGATTTATGGAGAAATAAGTAAAAAGGCACATCAAAATGGTGAATTGAGTGAACCCTGCCTCGAATTTGTTTACTTTCTCTTTAAATTGAGCACATTGTACGGAAAGAAAGATATTAACTCAGTGATTTCAAGACTTGTCACTATGAACACCTCAATATTTGCATGTCTGTGCATGGAATGAAAGAAGTGGATCGTGTCAAAATTGAAGCACCCCGGTTTTGTCAATGTGTACGCCCGGTTTTGTCCTTAAATTTCACAAAGCAGACCCGGTTTTGTCATAGAAAATAATGCATAATCGCATGACAAATATTAAAATATGGCGTTCAACAGCAGTTTGAGGGATCGTTGAAAAACATTTTCTTTCACAGGATAACTTATAACCTTTTTGAATCCGTAAACACTTGAATTCCTGCTTTATTAGAACAAAGCAAATTTCAATTTTGTTTTGTTTATAAAAAAAAAAGGAAAAATTAAAAAGAAATGAAGGTTTTGTAACGCAATTAGATTTTTTTATATGTAAATTTAAGTGTTCAAACTTAAATAGTGTACGGCCTTGAAAACTTAAGGACGCACATTTGATATGTGATTTTCTGGGACAACAAGATGGTTTTCTTAATGTTCTCTACTTAAAGGGAGAGACAGTATGATCGTTTGAAAATAAATATTCTGAAACTAAACGTTCATTATAAAGCAAGAGAATAAGAAAAATGTATATGCATGCAGAATCGCCCAAGAAAAGGAATTTCCATGCGGCGCAAAGGATCACAATAATAGTGCGTTAAAAATCTGTTTACCCCTCCTTGTTACAATAATACTAAGTATAAGTTAATATAATAGTCTTAGGTCACCCGGAAATTGCAATGATGATTATTTGATTAGTAATTTTATAAATAAACGTTGTTTTATCTCTTTTTTTTCCTCTTTTTTTGACATTAACAAATTCTTTAATGCACTAGTATCGAGTTCTTAACAACTGCCCTATATACTAGTAGTACAACTATTATATATAGGTTTATCTCTTCATTGTATAATGATTATCGTTCATTGACAAATGTTCTACAATTTAAGCACGTTGGTCAAGTTTAAAATTGTCAATATGCAAGGGCGGACCGAGGCCATGATTTTTGAAAGGGGCGTATACATAAACGGATTTTATACCGTCGAGCGTAGCAAAGGGAACTTTTTATACCGATTTAATGCTAAAAAATCATAGATAAATCGTAAAAAACATGATAAAATAATTATGTCTAGCCACCAAAAAAAGGGGGGGGGGGGGGTCGGCGTACTCCCTCTACCCCCTGGATCCGCCACTGATATAATGTAACTATATCGTATACCATCATAAAATTTAATAAAATAAAGACGAAAAAACAGAGACAGCCGCCAATCGCATATTTACTATAGGGGCTCTGTAATCAAATGAGTTAAGCCTTTTTCAACTCACTGAATTTTTTTTCATATGTTGTGCCAGGGGTGGATCCAGAACCTCGAGGTCTGGGGGGGCACCATGAAACCAAAATTAAGGATTTTTTTTATATATGCATATATGCGAGTGTGGGTGGTGTTGGTGTCATGTATTGGGGATGATGGTGGTCGTTTTGGGGGTGGGGTAGGGGGGTCGGGTCTTCATTTTTATATCGTTTCATCATTTTTGGGTCAATTTCTTTCTACTCTTTTATTTGCTGCCAATTGTCCTCTATTCTTTACAGTTCATCACAGCTTTAATCTGTTTTCTTTATTTATTGGGCCCATTTTTTTCTAGCCTTAACTTTTAAACCATTATTCTTTAATCTGTAACCCCCTTCATACCCTCATTCACGATAAACCATTTATATATATACCCTCATTTACGGTAACATATTCATACCCTCATACATGGTATTTAAAACAAGAAAAATATACACATATTACTGTACTGTAATAGAAAAACAAAGGATATTGGGTATCCATCCATGACACAAAATCAGTTCATGCACAGCAAAAAAACACACATATCAGGGGCGGATCCAGGATTTTGGAAAGGGGGGCGTAGTAATGAAGTTTGCCGAGCGGAGCGAGGCGAAAATTTTTTTGGGCCTTTTTTTGACTTAAAAACATAAAATAAGTGTAAAATGCATTTTATAGTTAAAGTGTAGGGGTTGGACATTTTTGGTGCCGTATTCTCTCCATTAATTGTCTATTATAAAATGATTGGATGGATCCAAAGCTATGTATTAATTGATTTATTTGATGTGGGATTTGTCAGTAAAAAATGGACATAGAAAATTTCGTTTGTTGTATGCATGGTTAGTTAGCATAACCTCACAGATTTCTTGTTGTAAACAAGATATACGGCTATTCAATGAAATTTACAATACGACCGACACGAAGAAAGACAAACAAGCAATTTTTATCCAAATTTTTTGTTGAAATGTTTAAACCAACAAGGGAAGTGAGGGGGTTCCAAATCAACCAAAGGCTACTAATGAGTCGAAAATGACAATGAAGTTGTGAATGACTGTCGACACATGAAGACATATAGGCCACACCCAGCAGCAGGTTGCAGTCGGGCCTTGAAAAAAGTATTCAGTATATCAGTTCGGCGAAACAAAACAGACATTCCGGTCAGATATGGGATTCACATGCACCCCCCCCCCCCCCCCAAAAAAAAAAAAAAAAAAAAAATTACGCCCGTTTTTTATTCATCATGTTCATTTAATGCTAAATAATATTGTTGAAAATATTTTTTTCTAATAGCAAAAAAGTGGACAAGATTATTGTTTTCAATCCAGATACGGCCAGAATTATTGTTTAAAGCAAAAATCAGGGTCAATTTTTTTTCTCTGAAATATCTCAGACTGCCCCCTCAAATCAAATGGTCCGTACCTTAGACTTTAAATCTATATTTAGAGCTTACTGACTGGGGATCACTATTCAGCAATGTTATTAATGGGCTGGCGCGTGTGGGGTTAAACATGTTTTCGTAGGTAAATAATATTGCTGTGGAACTTTTTTTTCATGAGAGTGTAATAGAGTATTACTTTCTGATGGTTGGAATTGTGAAATAGAAGTCAATACGTTCTTGCTCAATACTTTGTCGCTTTGAAGGCGTCATGCTTGTCATCCTCAGCCTAAGCAATGTGTTACTGTAATTTGAATTTCAAAATGACTGAGTGACGTTTTTTCGACGTACTGGTCAACTCCACCGTAGCGAATCACATGACTTTGACATAATCAATAATATATTACAGTAAATACGAGCGAAAAATATCTTCATAAGTAAAGAATTGTCGCATAAAAATTGAATACACGAGAAATGGCAACGTTCGCGAAGTCTAGTCTGATTAATCATTTTACAAAAAAAAACAAAAAAAAAACGTGCAAGCAAAGGGGGGGCGTACGCCCTCTACGCCCCCCTCTGGATCCGCCACTGACGTATATAGCATTTAATGGTTTACTTTTACAATTTGTGACTTGGATGGAGAGTTGTCTCATTGGCACTCATACCACATCTTCTTATATTTATTAGAACGTTTTGGATATCTCAAATCAAAATGATTGTCTTTCGAACGTGTATTTTATGTCCGCTTCAAAATACACAAGTTCTAAACTTCCCTATTAGAAACGAAATAATTATATCATGCCATGCTCTACGCTCATTTTAACATGGGTAGGTAGGCATTACATTTGTCAATATTTTATACCTTGCTAACGCTTGGTTTAAAAATTTTAACAAATATAATGCCTACCTACGTATGTTAAAATGAGCATTGAGCATGGCATGAAAGAATTATTTCTTTTTATAAAAAAAAGTTGGGTTGCAACATTATAACGTCCAATATCTTCGTCTTCGTAGAACAACCTAAGTGGCAAGTTAGCCCATGAAAAATGACAATTGGGCAGCTTTCCATCAGAGACCAAATGACGTAAAGTTAATAAATATAGAACTCCGTATGGCATCCAACAATGAGAACAACACCCATACGGCATAGCAAGCTAAAAAAGGCCCGAAATAAAAACTGTGAAAAAAAAACTAA